AAACAATTGTGTAGATATTTAATTGTATAAATTAATGATAAAGAGACAAATAAATAGTAAATACCTACTTAATTAATAATAAGATTGATTTTTTGGGTTGATCACAATAAACAATATGTTAACTGTTACAAAGTTTGGGCTTAAAATTCCAAACTTGCATAAATTAATATTATTTTGTTTCAATTAAAAGTAAATTTCAAATTTTGTAACAAGTGTATAGTTTGGGTTATATTTATTATAACATCTTGAATAAAAACGAAAATAAACTCATATAAGGTAAAATATAATTAAGATATTTGTAATACGAAGTATTCTCCAATCGGGGTACAATAATCGTGCAACGTGTTTTTGTTCCGTTTTCAATATTTAATACCTTTGCTGTTTCTCTGGAAAACTCGAGAATTACTCCTTTTTTTGTTGAAGGATTATCATTTATTGTAACCATTAACTTTTTATCGTTCAGTCTCACTTCGACTATGGTGCCTGGTTCTAATAGAGCGTGGGCTGCATTTAAACCATGTATTTTGTACATTCGATCACTAATTGTCATATTTTCCGGTGCGTTATATGAACATATTCCTGTTTGATCTTATTGATCAGAAAACAGATAGAAAACACATTATTATCTTTATTGTTTTACATCATAAATCTATATTTTACATTATACTTATTACTTAGATATATATATTATATACATATATAAAAAAATATGTTATTATAAATACCTTTAGAACTAAAGAAGGATGTTATTGGAGTGAGTAAGTTAGTATTGTCATTACAATAACTTCTAAAAGAGAACCATGAGAAACTACATTTTGAATAACAACATTCACAATCAGTTGAACATTTCTTATATAAACTTTTACATGAATCAAACTGATCACAGATTATGCCTAAAATAAAACACAAACAATTTTACTTAATAATGTTTAATTCCACGCAAGCGATTATTAATAATTTATTTTCAAGCAGAAATGTATGATGTAAAATTCAAACGTATACATATTTTTTAGTTCATAAGACATCTCTATAGTAAATTATGCTGGATACCTACGGTTCACTTAATTATAATCTATCTCGTTTTATTGTTTTTTTTTTTTTTTTTTAATAACATTTCCTCAGATGTTTCAAATAAAAGAAAAGTATTTACCTGAAATTGTGCACACTAAATACAATGAAATGAAAACACCTGCAGGTTTCTTCATTTTTATTTTACTGTTTAAATTATAACAATATATGAACTTCTTTATTATAACGTGTTTGCTGTTTTTCGCACAAGCTGTTACTAAAGTAATGAATACGCCGACGTCTGATCTATTTGATAGTTCAATGTCATTTAAGTTGAAATTAACCAAATAATTATAACTCTATAACAATACCAATTATTTTGGATATGTAATATTATTGATTGTGTACCTATTATCTTGTTTAATTAGTTCAGTTACTGCGACATCATACTATCATATTAATAAACATCATAGAAGTATAAGTACCTATATTGTATTACTATATACCTAATAAACTAATAAATTATATTTATAAATTATACTATAATATAAAGTACGTACCTTTTCTAATATAGTAACACTATCAGTCGTTCTCAGCCGGGGGATTATCTGTCCCACCAGTGGTAAACTTCAATAAGGTACGGAAGGGAATATATTAGTGAGGAAATTATAAGAATAACATTAAATGAGATTCAAATTATAATAATAAAATAAAGAAAGAAATCTAAAAAGGTGGGCAAGTGGGTGTCGCTCTGCTGTGCAGTAGATTACAAGTAGGTCGCTGTAATGGATGGTGTTAAATTTGAATTCAATGATATAATATCAATGTATAATAAAAACGATTCTGAGCGAAAATGGTCAGTCAGCCTACGATATTACTAAGTATATTTGATGATATTATTGTGAATAAAGTAATTTATATAATCTTGTTTTAATTTTTCAATCCTTAGATATAAAAGTTGAACATTTTATAAATTTTTAACTACTGAATAATTTGTAAATTTTCAATTTGATAAATTTCGTCAATATTCGAACTTTAAAAGATTATAAAAAAAATGTGAATATACATTTTTAATATTTTTCCACTTTTATTGTAACAATATATCAGGAACCTTGTGTTAAATTTTGACGATTTTTTGCCCAACAAATTAAATGTTATTTGTATGAAAAAAAACTAAAAAAATTGAAATTTGAAATTGTCGGTTAATAGCTCAAAAAGAGTTAAAATATTTTCAAAATGTTATGGTGTATAGAAAATGAAAATAGAATGGTGTGGACGTGTGGTTGTGATTAGATAAGTGGTATGATTATCTCATAATTAAGTAGTCTAAATATTTTGAAAATTTAATTTATTGTCTATAATATATAGCCTAAGGGTACTGACTACTGACGAAGTAGCAAAAAGTTTCAAGTCACTAATACTGCTGATATCCATATGGCCATACCTGTTGTTAGATAAAGACAACAATAAGTGAGTCAAATATAATTTAATGGTAAAAAGTATTTTAATTTTCAAAAACACGACGAAATTATCACAATAGCTATAGTTGAAAGCGGTCAATTGCTAAAATATCCAAGACTTAAAAATAACTTATAATACATATAACCTATGTCCTATGCCCTATGGAAAAAGTCAATTTACATTTCGTTCCGATCGGAATAATTATAATACTTTGTAAGTAGTAAGTACTGTCTTTGATCAGTTTGATCATAATAAGTTCTCAATCATTAGTTTTGTTGAAAACATTTTATATCCATGCGGCCTCTATGATTTAAGCCTTAAGGATTATACCTATAATTTTAATTTTAATGTCATATCAATCCTAAATCCTAATATATTATATATTATACCTAATAGCCGTACAAAAACATGTTTTTAAACTAATTATTTTAATACAATAATTATTATAAGTACAATTTCAACAACACAATTTACCACAATATGAGATAAACTTTTTATATTATATTTTTAAAAAGTCTTAAAAATAATGCTTGTTTGTCTGTTGAAGTTTATTTTAAGTTTAGAGTTTACATAACTTTTATTCTAGCAATAATTTAAAAGATGTAATTTAATGTTGTTACTAATTCATTATATACCAAAACACTACAAAGACCTTGACCTATAATAGTCAACAGTTATTATAGGTGTTAGTTAAACATTTTTCAATAACTGAAGTAAATCTTTAAATAATAATCACTCATCATCATCTTAAAAATTATATGCATCTTTTTGGAAATGGTTTTAATTCGTTACAAAACAACATTTTTGAAAATCTTTTATATCTTACTACTTTTTTTCCTTTTTGAATGAATTTTATTACTTTTTTGAATGACAGCATATACATTGTAGATATTATAAGCGAAGCTATATAAGAATATATTTTTTTTATACGATAGCAATTGTATACCATTAGATATTCAAACCAAAATTACGATTTTAGTTATTAATAAATAATAGGTAGGAACCTATTAGTTATTATGCTATAATTCAAAAAATAATAATCCCAAGGGAATCGACTCTAAATTTAAAAAAAAAATTTAAGATAAAATATAATAATAATTTATAAACAACAATACTATGTATGTGATGTTTTTGGCAGGAATTAGTTCAACATACTTACCATTCAAACAGGTAGTAAAAAAATCAATTACCTACTAATAGTCAGGAGTTAGAGTGGGAAAAAATTTACAAAAACGTTAAAAAAAATCGAAAAATGAGCAAGTATCTTGATGAAATCGCCGTGCAGCAGTGGCGTATAAAAGAATTATTTTCAGTGTAGGCCAATTTATCACTTGTCAATCATATAGCACGACTAACATAGCCGTAACTTTACATTTAGGGAGCTGGGAGGTTATAATTATGACATAAAAAATACAAATAAAAATTGTGTAATTTAATTTTATAATTATGTAAAATTTATTTTTTAATTCTTTAAAAAAATTTTAAATAAAATTGACAGTCTCATGTAGGTATATATAATGTATATTTTAATGTTATCTTACTAATTTAACATCAAAGTCATCAGAGCAAGTCCTGACAATCTAACATTTCTTTGTTGATTCCTCAAAAACGATTTTAATCAACCGGCTAAATTATCATGGTGAAAAACTGTAAATAGTGTAGATATACATTATGCATGCAATGCTTTAATTGAACCTGCAATTTCACTATGGGCTCTGGTCTACGGGGCCTCCCCCCTATAAACGCCACTGCCGTGCAGTATTTCAAGAAAAGATTAGTTTATAATTTTACTTTCCCTATATAGTCCCTAAACTCTATACCAATATGATAAAGTATCTACAATGAATTCTAGATAATCATTTTAATCATAATATTTAATAATTATAATTAAAAAAATAAAAACTATTGGAATATTCAGAAATTTTATGATATTGTTTTATTATTTATATATTTGTTATAGTGGATTGTATAACAATATATTATAAATATATTGTTGTTCTATTTAAAAAGACTGTAATTTGGGGGGGAGGCTGCAGCCCACTAGGCCCACTCCCTATATACGCCACTGATGTAGAATACATTTGGGGAAAATTGACGGGCCTGTGCGAAATTAAAATGTGGAATATGAGAGACAACAAGTCAATTTACAGAATAATTCTTAAGTTAAAACTATTATAATGGGCTGGTCTTTTTTGTTGGGTGGATCGATGTCTTATACTCTTATACGAAATGTATTGACCCAGAAACCATCCCTCTCCCCCAAAAAAAGTGACCAAGGCCCAAACATAGACCTCGCCAGCTGGGATTAAATAGAGCGGGGAAGGATATCTCAGATATCAACGAATAAATATAAATAGATAATGCAATGGACGAAATAGATGGAAAAGTTTTGGTAGAATGTATAAAAGGACTCAATGGCCTGCTGTATAATACTAAAAAACAAAACAAAATAGAGTTGGTATAAATTAAAAAAATTTATATATGAAAATAAAGATAACTAACTTTAACAAATTTTCGCTCTGAGAGAAACCTTAAATTAAATTAATCAGAATTATGATGAAACTCAAAACTGGTAATGTATATAAAATCATTTTTAGTATAGTACTATGATGTATCACTTTTTCGATTGTACATGGCACAGATTCACCATTTTTAATTTGTAACATCAGAGCAGCTGTATTGGATAAGTCTAAAAGTGATCCATTTGTTCTTGGGACGCGATCGTTTACTGTGATCACTATCGTCCTTCTTTTGTGTGACACTTTGATTAATGTATATGGAGGCAAAGTATTGTGGGCTGCATTTACACTGTCAAATTCATTATTCAGATAATGAATTTCACTTTCATCAGTCTGCATGTGGAATTCGCATATTCCTTCTTGATCTAGTTAGAAATAAAGAAATTCAACTTCTTATACCGTTATTGTATAATCAATTAAAATAGATCAAATTCATTACAAATGTATATAGATACCTGTTGGGTTTGAATCAGCATACAATTCCAATGATTGTGGCTTACAAGCACCGCTAAACCATTTTAACGATTTAAAACAATATTCGGAACAACAATCTTCGTCATTATAACATATGTCATTTACATTTTTACACAATAAAGTTTCTAAGGCATCGCAAGTTATACCTGAAATTGATAACAACAAATTTAATAATATTTTATCCTATAATAAATTATAAGATAATACATTTTGACTCCACGAGCGTCATTCGTTTCTATCCAATCACGTCTATAAACTTTGACTAAATATTTAAACGATTCTCCTCTTTGCACACTACACTTCACCGAAAGCGTCTGTGACCTCTCACACTTACTCTTTGACTGTCCCTCATTATAATGATATCCCCCCCACAACCTTTTCACTATTCTCGACATAAAATCTGAAGTGATCATGAAAATAATATTTTTTTTATATTGGAAGTTGGTTTCGTTGTATAATATATTTTGTATTAATTTTGTTATTGTCATAATTTTTGTACTATTTAAAATAACCGTTGTCACTGACTAACAACTTTTCAAATCAAAAAATATATAAAAAAAACAATCGAAAATTCAATTGACGGCAATATGCATTTGTAAATACCTAGGTATTTATTGAATAAATACATTTTTATTTACTATTATTTAAGTGTAGGTTAGGTTAGTACCTAGTGAATATAGTAATAATGTCTGTTATCGGACCACTAGCTTGTAGCGATTTTACCGATTTACATTTAGTGCGGTAAACTATATTTTCTTATTCCTCTAAATGAATAAAAGTTTAACTAGTGAAAAATCAAATTTGAAAACACAAAATATTTCAAAAAACTTTTTTTTACAATACACGATGTCAATATCACTATAGAGTATACAATATAATATACAAATACCTATCAATTAGTGGCGTAAACAACAATTTCCAATGGAGGGGGAAGCTCAATTATCTGTGTACGCCACTGGCATCATTATGGATAGTTATTAATTTTAAATTTACATAGCACCGATTAAATCAATTTTAAACTATATTTCCATTCCCGAAATCTCAATTATTAGAGATCTTTAAGTGACTTTAAGTGACTTTAAGTGACTTTAACAAAATTTATACAATAGTTAACTAAACTGTCTCAACTGTAGAATTTCCTATTCACTATTCACTTATCTCAACAATGTTAGAAAAAACCTTATTAATTGTACCATATTATTATTATGTATAAAGATTCTAGTTATTCAGTAAAAACATTTTTATTTCAGAAACTCATTTCCTTAACAATCACAACAACATATTTTTGAGAAATTTATATTTCATATAATATACAACACGAAATACGACCAACAGTCCTAGTCCCACGTCTCTCATTATATTATTATACTACAAATGTTGTGGATAAAAATGTATTTACCTGAAATATTGATGATTAAAATTAACGCAAGCAAAGGTTTCTTCATATTTTTACTTACGAATTTCATCTATGCGTTTTTCATTAATATTTTGTCAAATTGTCAACTTGTTTGGATGTGAATCGAACAATGAATATGAGTACGTAATAATACCATTTTCTATTTAATGTTTCATCTGAAGTGAGATAAAATAATAAATTACTATTGCATTATAATAAGGATATATTTATAAATATTTTTTAATGGTGTATATAGTATGTGCAATTTGTATTATAGAAATTAGAAGCAACTAGCGATAAGGCGTTAAACATGTTAATATTAATTTAAGTTATCAGTCAGGCTCACGCACAATTTATGTATAAGGTGAAGGTAAAATGTAATTCAAACTTTGATTATTATACACGCGTTTTGTTTTATAAATACTTATTCAAAATTTTAATTGCCGATTTTTTTCAAAAACAATGTATTATTGATTATAGATTCTTTGAATTTATATTTTGTTATTTAGGATATGCATATAAGGAATCATATAATATATTCTGAGTTATACCATATCCCAGACAGTTCTCTTTATTTAGCTATTGATCTTAACCGCAGAGATTTTTTGTAAGACTCGACTGCACCACATTTTGTATGATTATCTATATATCATATATGCATACATAATATTAGTTGTTACGTTATACTATTATAGTATGTGTGATGTGTCCTTAACTATATCATAAATTGCCAATTAGCATTATATTGATTATATTGTTTTCTGTTTTGTTTTATATTAATCACAAAATAATAAATATGGTCATTATACATATTAAATCGTCCTGTCGTTTACTATCTATGATGGTATATAATATAAAAGGGCAAAATATGTCTATTTGTTTATTATAATATATATTATTTTGTAGATCGCGTTACAATATAATATTTAAAATCAAAATAATTTCAGAATTTAGGTACCTATCAAAGTCTTATATATTTTTTGTTAAACTAAAAATATATATGTATATATAGGTAACTCAGAAACTGTGAGCATTTTAAAAAGCACTACGTGTCATAAGAATTTTTATATTATTGGTTACATTAAGTCATTAAATATTATGTTATTGTTCGGTCAGCGATAAGAGTTAGCTTTATCAGAGTTCAAATTTATTAATAATTGTAGTAATATATCATTTAAACGAAGCCATCTAAAATTCATTTCGTCCCGTTTCGCTGCGTGAATCATTTCACTGTATTATAGTGTTGCTTTAATGACATAATATTCAGTTTAAAGTGAGAAAACTATTTGAGTGTTGAAGGTTTGAAGAAAAAATGAATCAAGCTACTGTTGTTTGGGCCAAGCTATTTCTAATCATCATAATTTTAGGTGAGTTCGCAGGCACTTTTTTTCAAAAAAAAAGTAGTAGTTTTTTTTTTAAAAAATGATATCGTAGAAGCGTTTAAACTATATAGAAGAAACTATCTGTTTAGGTTTGTCCATATCCGAGTTTCTTATCTTCATAAATATAGGTCATAAAAACGAGTCGTACCTCGTAATTTATCGATTCCTTATAATAATGAGGAACTTTCTAATGATAACACGGAATTAGGTTCACATTACAATAGTTTCAAGCAGTTCAAACAGAATTCGTAATTTCAGTATTCAATACTTTATCTATTTGCATTAATATTGTAAGTTAAGTGTAATATTTGCATATGCAAAAATTGAGTTTTAAATTTGGGAGGGGGGAAGCCATTTTTACTAAGTAAACTCGCGGGGGCCTAACCACCTACACCTATCAACTTGTTTAAACTGTATTCTAAAAAAACTAATCATATTTTCAACATGTGATTTATTAACGATTAATAACAATGTACAATAAATAAACTTACATTATTCAACTATATTGCTGATTAAGCACGCTGAGCTACTACTATTATAATATGTTCTTTTGTTTCTACAGCTAAACCTCTTGGTCTTAAAGCCGTCCACGAATGCAAGCACCTAGGAAATAATTTGTGTCTAAACCACAATGAATGTTGTTCCGGTTATTGTTATATGGAACCTGGTTGGGCGTCTGGTGTGTGTAAAAGAATGAATACTCCAAAAAAACCAGACGAATCGAAAACCAGAAAAAACAACGAAAAAAACAACGAAAAAAACAACGAAAAAAACAACGAAAACAACGACGAAAAAAACGACGGAGTACATGACAGAGTAGAAGACGTTTGTAATTATCCCTAAATACTATTTTGAATTATTGTAAAAATATATTATGCTATTTGGCTTTTATGTAATATTTATAAATTAATATAATATTTATTACATGGTAAATAACTAAATGTTATATTATCTAAAGTCTTTTTTTCTGCAATTTATTTAGTTGAAACGGGCGTTTGTGGGTATTACAGAGGAGAGTCCTTAACTGCAAGTGGTGATGTATTCGATGAAACCGAAATGACCGCCGCTCACCGGACTTTGCCGTTCAACACGAAGGTCAAAGTGGAGACCATGGGTACCAGTGTAGTGGTCAAGATCAACGACCGGAAGACTCCGTCGGACGGACTAGTAATGCTTTTGTCTCGTGCGGCGGCCGAGAACCTTAACATCAACGAGAACACAGGCCCGGTACAGTGTCAATTAAAAATTCTGACCGATTCGGGCTGCACTCCAGATTTTGGAAACACGTGTGTGCTGCATCACGAATGCTGTTCACAAAACTGTTTCAAGGAAATATACTCAGATGAAGGGTTTTGCATACCGAAATAATTAGACGGAGGTCGAGCGACGTTGATTAAAGCCGGTGGAAATGAAACAGAATTATAATTCGCGACTCACCGGTTCAACTGCCACCGTTGAATAATAAACCACAATATAGTAAAATCATATTTAACCGTTAATTATTATTTTAGAATTAAATATTCGGAAACCATCGAGTACCTATTTTAATTTAATGTAAATATTAAAATATATTGTAATCATTTCATTAAAAATAAAACTTTAAGGTATATTCTGCTCTGCATGGGAGTGTTGTCAGTATCACGTCTTTAATATGTTAGGTACCTACACTTTCTTCTGTCATATATCATATTTTAAGCTTATTGTACAAAATATGTATAGATTGTTTAATTTGAAATAATAGTGTAAAAAAGAATATTCTATTGCAAAAGTAAATTATTACGATTCGCAATTTATGTACAACGAATGTCAAATGTTGATAACAATAACACAATTCGTCTGAAATCAGTGGTATACCTACATTTTTTTTTTAATGCCAATATTAATGTTTGGTTTTTAAATTATGTAAGTAAAGTGTATAGGTATCAAGTCTTGGATACTCAATCCAGTTATTTTTGTTATGAATGTCATTATTGGGTGCAATATATTAGATTTTGTTTGCCTATCTATAGTTAATCTATACAAATCCTTTTGGTATCATATTACTCGTAATATTTGGTTATATATACCAAGGGTGGCCTCAGTGATGGCCTGAGTTTCTGAACTCAAGAAGCAATCATTTGCCAAACTAAATAATTTTGCCACCCACTAAATTTACAAGGACAACAACTCTTTTTTTCTATTTCTACGCTTTATAGGCTAAATTTTCAATGTACGTATCATCTATATAATATTATAATAATAGCGTTGAATTCAACTAACCACCCGTATTAAATACACACCTACCCCATTTTAGACTATGAGCGGTTGGTTTTGATCATCTTATAACAAGCCACCCCTGAGTGGCAAATTTAAAAAAAGACACTCCTTCATAGTATTATAGAATGAGAAATATATATATACCTAAAAATAGGTTCTCGATGGTCTAGTCTTTGGGAAAAATACATAACACATAAATACATAATTGAACACATCGTGATTATAGATTAGAATCCAATATTTAAACCATTTTTATTATAGATATTATACCTATCAAAATATGTAATAAAATGTAAAACATAATAATCTCATCATGCAATGATATCAGATTGTGTTATTAAAATATTAAGAAATACTATTGTTTTTATTATTATAAATAATATAATAATAAGTAGTTCATACTGTAACCAACTGTAAAATATTATTCAAGGGGGCTAGAAACTTCTAAAGTGTATTTTTATATTCAAATAACGCTAATTCAACTTACCAGCTACCGTATTCATAATAATAACATAATTAATATAATATAAAATCATATATAAAATATCATTGGCTGACAAACCGTCACCAATCACATGATTTAATTCAAAATTTATATGTTATAATATTATCATTGAATTCAAATCGAACACCATCCATTGCAGTGACACACACTTACCCGTTTGTTTTTAACTATTATTATTTAATTTTGTAATATTGTAATATTTGTATTAGTATACATTTTGTATTTTTATGTCGTTAAAAACGTTCGATTTGAAATTATATTCACATAATGAAATACATTCTATACAGATAAAAACAATTAAAATGTGAACATAAATATTATATAAAAAAACACTTTTATTAATACCGTATTATATATTACCTAGTCTTATGGTTCTCAAAACGTCATAATTATCGTTTTGCATAGAATTGTTTTTAAATGCAATCGTTTATATTTCATTATTGCTCTCAAATGTAGAATGCATCACTATTTGAAGTTCAGTCAGCGAAGACAAGCTAGTGTTATGCGTTGAACGGCATACTGTATAGGCAATATAGGTACCTACATTAATACTGTTTTTAATATTTGAATTTTAAATTTTATTGTTGTTGTTATTATTGAAAATTGCGTTATTGTTAGTATACTTATAAATTATTTTACACCATTTAATAATCTTTAATCGATATTTGGTAGGTAAGTATGCACTTAACCATTAAGCTGTACAAAATTATTTTAGATTCTGAGTGGAGCGATGAATGTATTAATTTTATATAATGTGTTTTTTTTTAAATTTTTAATTGTGTCTGTCATCACCTTTTATAGGACAGTAAAAGTTCTTAGATTTTTTTCGACAGTATCTTTTCTGATAGGAAAGTGAATCAAGTTGGTACTTTGTTGGTCAAAAGTAAAAATTTCCCAGTAGTTTTCAAAAGTGAGGTTAAAATCAAAAGATAAATTAAGGAAAAACGTGAATTTTACTCAAAATCTATTTATTTATTTATTTTTTTTTTTGGTGTAACTCTAAAACAAATGACCGTAGATACATGAAATTTTGACTGAATGTTTATATTTTCATTTTCTATACACCATAAAAGTAAGAAAATATTTTGACGTATTTTGAGCTGTTTACAGACATTTTCAGTTTCCAATTTTTTTAGTTTTTTATTCTATAAATATTAATAAAATGTAATTTGTTGGGTAAAAAAGCTTGGAAATTTAATAGAAGGCTTCTAATATATTGTTTCAAAGATAGACATAAGACGCATTGACGGACATTTACCATTTTTTAAAATTTCCAAAACCATATTGCACTTTTTTATTACTGCTATGGCAATAATGAAATTGGTACTATTATACCATGTAGGTATAGTAGCCAGTAGGTACGTACATTGAAACTGCTGAAACATGTAACGCTATAGCTACGACTATTATTGTTCAATGATTACTCAACTCATTATTATACATTATGTACCTACTGCAAATCAGCTTATCGGTGTTGATAAAATAAACGGCAAATGAACGAATAGACCAAAAATCTTAAAATAGAAAATTTATTATTAATTGATATATTATATTCCTTTAAAATATAATATATTATTATATACAAATATGAAATAATTAATAATATTAATTTAACTTACTGGCTACCATATTATTATTAATAATACATCCTATACATAATGCAGCCTACTCGTTGATCAATGGTATGCTGATATTCATGTTCCTTTAAACGAAATCGCTGTCAAGGATATATTACTATTGCCAGCTCCATTTCCATCTGATTTTCTTATTAAGGATCTAGCACCAGATCCATTAAAATGTCTATAAATTACCAAGTTTTCTCCAATAGATTAGCCCCAGTGATTTTATACAGTGCCATAATAAATAGACATACTGTAGTTGTTATTTTTTTTTATCAATGTCAAACATTATACATTATTACATTTTTTATAAACACCTACTATTATGTGTAATTATTGATAGATTAAAAAATTGAACATAGCTAGTTTTATAGTATTAATACTCGTATAATCAAGGAAAAATCTTTAAACCGGGAAAACAATTTCAGGTCTAACATTATAAAATATATTTGATCATTTTCACGTTCAAAATATAAAACTCATCTTCTACTTTCAAAAACTATGAGGAGCCAGATTCCTGGACTCCCCCAGTTACAGCCTTGCGTATAGCAAAAGGTATGTAATGGTATAATAAAAAAAAATAGTATTTTTACATCAGTACCTCTCTACCTACTTCTATCGGTATAATGTTTTTTCTGAGACACGATTGAGCATAAAACACCTTTTCTACATGATTGAGCAAAACTGTCGGCATATCAAAGGAAATCAAAATACAAAAGAAAATATACACAATTGAGCATAAAAAAATATTAATTTAAATAATTATAATAATTACAACATATCAAAAAAATATCATCATTTCATAGTCAATAGTATAGTCACATTTAATAAATCTGTTTAATAATAATAATAATGATAATAATAATAGTTATGAAAATATATATTTTGATTTTATTATTTTTTAATTAGTACCATGGTACGAATTAAAAAAAATTACTCCATGGTTTATAAGTCAAGAATACTATATAGTATGAGTGATTGGACACTGTCCCACTGATATTATTTCTATAATAATTTTGTATTAATTTTTAAATAAATTAAAATTTTTTTTTACTTTATTGCTCCGGAAATGTTTTAGTCGATAACATTGTCGATAAAGCTGGGCTCAGCTCATGGATCGCGCCTGGTATCATAATAATTGGTGTAATAATACATGAAAATAATAAATTACCAAATTTCGGCCACTTGAATGTGGCAACATCGCATAAAATATTCTATGCTCAATCGTTTTATGCTCAATCGTGCTTTACCGAATGTTTTGTACCTTGTGATTGTGAATTATGATATACCAACATATTTCAAAGGGCATGGCCGTTTTCGACCAACATTTTACCTTTTCCTTTTCAGACAATTCACTTGTCATCAAACTAAAAAAATTAACATCTACTTTCTGTCATAAATATCGTATTATAATTGTATTATTAAAAATATAAGTTGTGTAAAATGTATATAGGTAATATTATATAAATTAATAATAATAATATATAATTACCATTTATCATCAATAATTATTTGATCAATATCTTATACAGTTATAATAAGCATGTTCATAGTTTGTCCACATGTATGATGTATAGGTACTTTATTTTATACATATTAATATAAAAATTATTAAAAAATAAGTTATTATTGAAAATATATCTAATTATTATCAATCAAATAATCAATTAATAATCAACAACAACAATTATATAGGTTTTAATAAATTTCTAAATGTATAAAATAGAATGGAGCATATTGACCTTTTTGGCTTGGCCCAAAAGTGAATCAGCCGAAACGGGAAGGGTACGATCGAAAAGAGTCTCGCTAGTCTCGATTTTGTTATCAATTAGGGTACCTAGCAAATGAATGCAGCTTTACAAATATTAATAACTGTAAATTGTTTTAATAGCCAGACAGCTCAGCATATGCGTAATTAAAATCAGTTATTATGTTAAAGATATTAAATATAATCTGAAATGAATGATACTTAAATCAATTATTATTTCATTATGACAATGAAAGTCTTTAAACAGTTTTAACATAATGTTAAATTCCACCATTAGGTCAGGATCTTGGTGCTTATTCATTCGATAATATACCTATGTATTAAGCACTAAGTATTAAAATGTATTCTTTATTATATATTTTGAAGCTGGTCCTTGATTTGAACAATTGAACTAATACCAATTTGATAATTTTGTTTTATATTTATACAAATAATTACTCATGTTAATATATTTAATTTGTATAAGATATAAATTAACGATAAGGGGTTACATAAATACTTAAATCAAAATAAGGTTAAGTTTTTAGATAGAATACAATAATATGTTAACTTTTACAATGGTTGCGTATAAAATTTAAAGTCTGCATCAATTTAATATTAATTTGTTCCAATAAAAAGTAAATTTAAATTTTTCAAATAAAATATTTTGGTTACAATAGTAGCCTGAATAAGAAAGTAAATAAAGTAATATAAGGTATAACATATTTAAGATATTTGTAATATGGATTATTCTCCAATTGTGGTACAACAACTATTGTGCAAGGTACTTTTCCACCGTTTGTAACATTCAATGCTTTAGCTGTTTCTTTGGAAAACTCCAGAATTACGTCGTTATTTTTTGAAGGCTGATTATTTATTGTGACGACTAACTTTTTATCGTTCAACTTCACTTCAACTTTTGTGCCTGGTGGTAATACGGCATGGCCCGCATTTAAACCGTATACTAAGTACAGTCCTTCATTAAATGCCTTATTTTCCGGAACGTAGTTATACGAACATATTCCTGTTTGTTCAACTACATACAGAAAATACAGAAAATACATTTATGATCGTTATTGTTTTACCTACATCATAAAACTATATTACACAATAACATTATACTCATACAAACATAATATAAATAATAAATGTGTATCATATAATATGGTAGGTACCTTTAGTTCTGAAGTAGGATGTTATTGAGTCGTATAAGTTAGTATTATCATTACAATACCGACCAAAAGACAACAATGAGAAACTACATTTCGGATAACAACAGTCATAGTCATTTGAACATATATCATTTATGCTATTACATGAATCATAGTGATCACAGGTTATTCCTAAAATAAATAAACAAAAACAATTTTACTAAATGTTTAATTCCATACAAGTGATTATTAATAATTTATTCTCAAATAGAAATGTTGAATGAATAATTAATGTGAACATATTTTTTGTGATGGTTTCTTGTTGTAGTCGTAAAAGTAAAAAAGGTGGACGAGTGGATGTCGCTCTGCTGTACAGGGGGTTACTAATGGGTCACTGACCACTGTAATGTATGGTGTTAAATTTAAATTCAATGATATAATAATATCATTGTATAGGAAAAATGATTCTGAGCGAAGACGGTCAGATAACCTATGATAAAGTAATCTAGGTACATAATATAACCTATTTAAGTGGAATTTTGTTTTAAATTTTCGATCCTTAGCAATAAAAGTTGGACATTTTATAAATTTTTAACTGCAAAATAATTATTAAATTTTAAATGTGATAAATGTTGTCAATAATCGAAATTTAAATGCTCATAAAAAAATTGTGCCTACCTATGTACCTATTTTTAATATTTTTAACCTGCAATTTATTGTAACATATATCAGAAGTCTTGTATAGAATTTTCACGGTTTATGGGCCAACAAATAACATTTATTATTATAATTTTATTGATGATTATTATAGAAAAAAAAATTTAAAAAATTTAAATTTGAAATTTCCGTAAACGGAAAATGTGTATAGAAAATGAGAATATAAACATTCAATCAAATTATCATGTATCTACAATATTCGTTTTTGAATTACATTTAAATTGACTTTCCGGTAGAGATTTTTTTTTATAAAATTAGACAAACTAATAAGAGATCTTATATTAAATTTTCAAATCTTAGATTTAAAAAGAAACATTTTTATGAATTTCTAACATAATAATTTGCCCATTTTGTGATTTTAACGTATTTTGTGAAAATTCGAACTTTAAATGCTTATAAAAAAAATTGTGACTATGGATTTTTAACATTTTTCAAATATCATTGTAACAATATATCAGGAGCCTTGTATTAAATTTTCAAGCTTTTTTACACAACAAATACAATTTTATTGACATTCATAGAAAAAAAAAACTAATAGAATTAGAATCTGAAAATATCCGTTAACAGTACAAAACAAATCAAAATATTTTGAAAATTACATCGCGTATAAAAAATGCTAATATAAACAACCAGCAAAAATTTCATGTTTCTACGGTCTTTTGTTTTAGAGTTACACCAAAAACCAAAATCGATTTTGTCGAAAGCCGGTTTTGCGTAAAAATTACCGTTTTTCCTTAATTTTTATGTGGTTTTTCCCGGCGCTTTTGAAAACTATTGGGAATTTTAAAATTTGACCTCCCAAGTGCAGTAACTAGATTTTCCATCTTTTCCACTTTTCCATCGAACAACATAGGTACTAAAGTTAAAAACCGAATCATTTTTTCGACTACTTATTGTGTACACAGACACAAATAAAAAAAAAATTGAAATGAAAAAAAAAACACACGCGTTGTTGTAAAATCAATACATTCATCGCTCCGCTCAGAATAAAAATAAAAATGGAAGGACATGCACTAAAAATAATAATCTAATTTTATTATTTTATTTAAGAAAATTAATATTTTCTTCAAGGATTTAAAGAAAAAAAGTATTTACCTGAAATTGTGAATAATAAATATAATGCAATGAAAACACCTGCAGGTTTCTTCATTTTTGTTTTACCTTTAAAATTATATATAAAAAGTAATTATATATTATATTATATCCTAACGTGTTTACTGGTTTTCACACGAACTGTGAATAAAACAATGAATATGTATTGTCATCTGATTTATGTGATAGTCGAATTATATTTAAATGAAAATTAACCTCATAATTATAACTCTATAACGAGAGCAATTATTACGCGTTATAATAGCTGATATTTTGTATATAGCTTTAAAATATATGTTCCTAATATTATTGATTGTATATTATCTTAGTTAATATGTTTAGTTACTGTGACATCATACTATATCATATGAATCACATATAATAATATGGGTCTTAATGTTAAATAATAATTTTAATAAAATAGAAATAAGTCCTTATATTAAAACAGTAACACTATTATAGATCAGTGGTTCTCAACCGAGGAAAAATCCGTCCCACCAGTAATAAACTTCGATAACGTATACAAAAGAGAATATAGTAGTGAGGAAATCACAAGAATAGCATTAAATGAAAATCAAATTATCTCATATATTAAAATAAAGAAAGAAATCTAAAAAGTACAAATTAGATTCAAATTATTTCTACCAGAAACCAACCGCAAAGTTTAAAATCGAAGCATTTATTCTACTATAAAAAGTGTCTTGAGATAAAAAAAACTTTGAGTAAGTCAAAAATCGGATTTATGCATAATATGTGTTTAATGCAATTTTCATTTATAACCAGTGGAAATAATAAAATAAGTGCCAAATAAATGTTTAATGGGGGACGGAGTGGCCGAGCGGACTAAGGCGTCGGTTGCAACGAGCACCTTCGCCGGTTCGAATCCGGCTACGGGTGGCATTTTTCTTCTGGCAGTCACGGTGTGCGGAGAGAGAGGCCGACATGGCGACGTCCCCCACCTGGGCATGACAGATACCTACGTGTCTGTTTGTTTTGGCAGAATTTTTAAGTGGACACCCGTATAGGTATATGCCACGCCCGGGTGGTGGATGACGGCCTCTCTCTCCTGAGTCCTGACACCGTTTTTGCCAGAAGAAAAATTTCGCCCTTGCCCCTTGGCCGAGTAGAACTGGCGACGGTTTAGTTTACTCGGCCTCTCCGTCTATTTGGCACTTATTTTATTATTTCCAGTTAATAGAAAATATCATTAAACACAAATTATGCATAAATCCAATTTTTGACTTACTCTAACTTGGTCAGTTTTGAAAATAGAAAAAAACTTTTTACACAATAAATGTTTAAAAAAAAATACTTTACCCGAATTTGTAGCAAAAAAACTGGGTTTCCATTTTAAAAAAAGGTGGGCAAGTGGGTGTCGCTCTGCTGTACAGTAGGTTACAAGTGGGTCACTGTATAATGGATGATATTAAATTTGAATTCAACGATATAATATCATTGTATAAGAAAAACGATTCTGAGCGGAGACGGTATGTCAGTCTAGGTATAAGACATATTATATACATATCTATGGTACTAAACCAAAATTTGACCTATAATAGGTACCTATAATAAATTCCAAATTAATCATATCACAATATCCATTGGGTACTTATAACGCGCTATACATCAACAAAAACCGTGATACTATCATAGATATATAATAGTACACTTTAAAAGTTTCAAGTACCCACAAATAATATTATTCAATCACAACAAAATAACTAAAATAGTTATTCTAGGTTTTTTAATATGTAATTTCGTCTAAATTTGAATTTAAAATGTTTGTAAAAAATAACTGTGTTCATATATTTTTTAGATTTTTTGGTTACAGTGTGAACTATGTATGAGAACCTTTGTTTTAAATTTGCAATCCTTAGCTATAAAACTGAACATTTTATAATTTATTAATTACAATGATTGATAATTTTCAAGATTTTGATAAATTTTGTCAAAATTCGATCTTTAACTGCTTATAAAAAAAAATTGTGCCTATGTATTTTCAATGTTTTTGAACTAATATTGTAACAATATAACAGGAGTCTTGTATTAAATTTTACACTTTTTAGCCCAACAGATAAAACTTAATTGATATTTATAGAAAAAAAATTTAAAACTGAAAATGTCCGTAAACAGCTCAAAAAGAGTCAAAATATATTCAAAATTGTATGGTGTATAGGAAATGATAATTTAAACATTCAGTGAAATTTTCATGTATCTACAGTTATTCGTTTTTGAATTACAACAAAATAAGGAAATCGCTACATGAGAAATCGAGTGAATATTCAATGTTGTAAAAATTTGAATTTCAAATGCTCATAAAAATTTAATTTGACTTTCTTATAGACATTTTTTTTTTGATAAAGGTAGATAATCTTATAAGGAATCTTGTATTACATTTTCAAATCTTAGATTTAAAAAGAAAAATTTTTACGAATTCTTAACTCAAAATAATTTGCTAATTTTCGTGATTTTTCCATATTTTGTCAATTTTTGAACTTTAAATGCTTATAAAAAAAAACTGTGACTAACGATTTTTAATATTTTTCATCTGCCTTTGAAACAATATACTAGGAGCCTTCTATTAAATTTTCAAGTTTTTTTAACCAACAAATAAAATGTTATTGATATTTCTAGAAAAAAAACTAAAAAAAAATGAAAAATGAAAATGTCCCTTAACAGTGCAAAATAAATCAAAATATTTTGAAAATGTTATCGTGTATAGAAAGTGCAAATATAAACAACCAGTGAAAATTTCATGTATCTACGGTCATTTGTTTTAAAGTTACACCAAAAACCAAATTCAATTTTCTGAAAAATCGATTTTGCGTAAAAATTCCCGTTTTTCCTTAATTTTTCTTTTGTTTTTCTTGGCGCTTTTGAAAAGTACTGGGAATTTTAAATGTTGACCTCCTCAATGCACCAACGATATTCACTTTCCAATCGAACAAGATACTGAAGTCGAAAACCGAAGCATCATTTCGACTACTTATCGTGTACACAGACACAAAAAAAATAAAAAAAAAAAAAAACATCAATGTAAATTCAATACATTCATCGTTCCACTCAGAATCTAAAATAATTTAAAAACAAGTAACAACAAAGTAAATTGAATGAGACGAAAATCGTTCCTTAAAACCGATAATTTTTTCATAAAATATTCAATATTTTACTTATTGGTAATAAATTTCTATATTGTATTCATTTTTATATAAAATAAAGTACCTAGTCATATAAAATCGAAATATATATTATAGTATAACACTACTATATAGTAGGTACTGAAGTACTGAAGTTAATCTATATAAGATAAAAGTGCACACGTCTATTTGTTTATTATAACACATTATTTTGTACATTTACATAACAAAAAAAAAAAAATCAAAATAATTGTGGAGTTCGTTAGTTATTGAAGTTTTATATAGAAAATAAAATGATGTTGTATTAAAAAACACGTGTTATAACAATTAATATATTGTAGGTCACATTAAGTCATTAAGTATTTAAGTATACATATTATTGTTCAGTTCGGCGATAAGAGTGGATTGTATCTGAGTTCAAATGTAGTTATTAATTATTAATGTAACAATAATTGTAGAAATAATATATTATAAAATTAAAAACAAAGCTGAAAACCGTATAAGATTGTTTTCATCTTCGTTTCACGACGTAGGTATTCATTTCACAGTATTATACCCAGTGGCATACTTAGGAATTTTAGTAGGTGCGGGGGGTCTGGTTTGAAATTTTTTTTTCAAACAAAATATTTGTTAAATTTATAGATCAAGTTTAGATCCCACTCGAATTTTTTTTTTCGGAAGCCCTATAATATGTATTACAATACATGCTGTTTACAATTAAACTAACCAGTTAATATGACGATGGTACAAAAATTAATTCCTGGAAATCATTAACTTCTATGGTATATAGCCATCATACGCACGTGTATGTATATTCTATGACCGTAATAAGTGTAATAAATAATTCCCAAATTCACAAATAATTGTTTCTAAATGTGATTATTTATATTTCATAAATGGTTTCAAATTTAGAATACATCACTGTATTTAGGTTCAGGGTTGTTATGTTAAAAACATCTTGTTTAAAACATCAGAAAAAAACATATTGATTTTGTTGTAAACGTTTAAAACAACAATTAAAACCGTGAGGTTAAAATTATATTTTTAATAAATTTTAAATTAAAATAATCTATAGGTTTTTTCTACTCTGCGGGATACTTTTTTTTAATGATTAATGATGTTGAAAATCAACAATATCAACGATTTAAAAATTTAAAACGATGTCATCCAAAAAAAAATTGTTGTAGACAAAACTCCATAACTGAAAATAAGCACGACCCCCCCCATATTTTGATTGCACCACGGTTCTCAGTGTCAAAAACTACACAAATACCTATGAGTAAAAACAAATTTTAAAATAAGGTATCCCGTAATGAAGACTTAATCTATGTAATATCGGTTCTGGGACATTTGCGGTCAATTTATTTCTAACTACCTGACTATAAGATTTGAGTGCTACCTATATAGAATATTTTATATACTACGTATATACTTAATTTATGTTAATAGGTATAATGTAATTCTTTTTTTTTACTATAATTGATATAATTGTATACTTAAATTATTTTATTGAACAGTGGTTGGAAAATCCAATTATTTCAAGGGGAATGTGGAACTGTCATAAAAGAAGCTACTTGAATATGGAAGGTAGGAGAAAAGGAGAAAAGGAGAAAAAAATGTACATACAATTAGACGAAAGAATTGGAAAAACATTAGTAGACTATGAATAAGATAATGATTTAGAAAAATGCTTAAATAAATAGCCATTATTCAAAAATTAGAATAAGGTTATGTTTATTATGTACCTACTGCGATAGTCTGTGAATTGTGATTGACAAATATATTATTATGTGCATTTTTTATAATAATACCTAAATATTTTTAAATTTTTTTACATAAGTACAGTGAATTGTGATTGACAAATATATTATTATGTGATTTTTTAAACACGCTAGTAAAATATACAGCCAGTCCTGATCCTGGAAAGTGTGAAGGCCGAAGGGAAGTTTAAATATAATATATTTGACAAGTATATAATTATATCAATTAAAGTAAGAAAGTATTATATTATACCTATTAACAAAAATTAAGTATATAGTATATAAAATATTATAAATAAGCACCCAAATCTTATAGTCAGGTAGATAGAAATAAATTGACCGCAAATGGTGCCGACCGCAATATCATTAGAAATAATAATAATAACACAATGACATTAAGACTGATGATGGATGAGGGATGCTTTACATATATTTTTCCAACCCTGAATTTAGGTTCAATAAGCGTACACGGGCAATTTTTATTTTTTTGACATTATGCTTTGAACGGCGTATTGTATAGGCAATTAAGGTACATTAATATTGAGTTTATTATCAAAATGTTGCCATTATTATTGCAAATTGCAATATTGCTAATACATACATACAATTTTTTTTACACTATTTAATAATGTTTGTTCGATATTAGGTAGATAGCTCTATTATGGTAGTTAGTTTTATACACAGATTATTTTGGGATCAAATATTATTCTGAATATTAAAACTTGAATAAATAATTGGAATATAGATAAATTAAATATATAATTATTAAGCTCATGGGTTAAATTACTTACTCGATTTCTATATCATCTATATTCTATATCTACTATCTATAGAGTATTGATAGTGGATAGAGGCATGAACATATATACTGTTAATATTCCATTGGCACCATGGCTAAATATAAAAGTAATATAGTCAAGAAACAATATACCTACCAATATAATGTAAGCCTAATATAATACATTAATACAAGTTGAGACCTTTAAAATGTTGGCTATAGACGCTGTTTACATTTATTTAGTAATTTACTGTAACTTAGTTGAAATTTACATACATATGTATATGTTGTATATATTTTATATATAATTATGTCATTCATACGCATTACACAATCCTATGGTGCTATAGAGAACTGTTGTTTTTGGTACAAAGGGACAGCAAGGGATTATTTAAACATTGGTACCACTGTTGTCCCAGCTGTTATCTGGAATTTAATTTTCTCAGAGGAGTCCATCCATCATCGTTTTCTCGTAGTTTTATATTTTCATCCCTGCACGGAGGGCCGCACTTTTCATACACTTACAACTACAATACTAGGCCAAAATATGATCGCCTCAAGGGGACTTAAGCTAATGAGGAACTTTTCAACAACTGCAGCTCGAAATAGTCATGCATATGGTGGACCTGGATCTAATTTGCCGTTTGATGTAAACAGCAAGTATAAATTTACAGCTCTACTAGCAATATATTTCAGTACTGGGTTTGGACTTCCATTCCTGATGGTCCGATTCATTAAACACAGGGCACTATAAAAGATCCAAAGAGAACTTAATGTAATTGACAATGTAGATTGTTTATTAAAAAAAAAAATATGCTAACACTAGTCAGTAGTTTTAAGTAATGTATTTTTTATGTTTTGTTTGTACTTTGTAATAATTTCTTCTTTAATAATTGTCAACTCAAGAAAATTGTACTTAATAATTTTGTTAAATAAAATTATTAAGAGAAATTATTCATTTAGATGTTATTTATTAAATAGAATTCTCATAAAAAAAAGTGATTTTATACCTCAATTTAAAATTACTAGAAAAACACCAACATATGTTTAATTTTTGATGGTCACATATCAATATTAAGATGAAAATTATTCACACGTTTTAAATAATTTAATACATGTAGGTACTTATCCATTACCTATTATTTATTTTTTAGTATGCTATATAGAACAAAGTAATGTATAATTTTACACTAAATTTTATTTTTTAGTTAATAAATTTAATTATTAAACTTGAATGTTTCAAGAGACAAAATATGGAGTGTAAACATTTTTAAAGGGAAAAAAATTAAATGGTCATAAAAGTACATAATACAAGTCTCGTGTTTAATTATAGAACGGATTGTATGTAATCCAATGAGCCCGAGTTTGGTTTTTGTCGTCTTCATGACTTGTAAATAATGACTTATATACATTGGTTGCTGATTTGTCTTTAGAAATACTATGTGCAAGTTTTGCTTTTTTATACACAGGATCTTCTAATTTGCGGCAATTACCAGAGCCAACAGAGGAACTTGATCCTGCAGCACTAGTGATAGGTCCTAAATCAAATATAATTAATATTAATAACTTCAAAAATAACAAATTATGATACAAATTGTCATACTTTTTATTTGTTCTTTCTTTATTTGTTCCTTTTTTATTTCTTTCTTGATATCAATGTTTTCAGTTTTAATAGGTAAGATGGATGGAACAATTGGTTTTACATCTTCATCTTCAATTGGTTCGTCTTTAATTGCAACTTCTTGTTTGACTTTATTTTTCTCAGAATTTTTTTCACTCTTAATCTTATCTTTGCGTCTAGCCAATTTAGTTTTCATTAAAATTATATCTTCTCCAGTCGGATTCAACACAACTATATCATCATCATCATATTCCTTTACACAATTAACACACTTGTTATCAGCACCTAGCTTAAGACCTCTCTCAGAAACAACACATCCACATTTCCATAAGAAACAGAATTTTGATCTGTCGTTCATTTCAAGACCAATAAGAGGGCATACGTAAGGTGAACAATTATCGTCAATATATCCTCCAACACTTTGAGCTTTTTTGTTGAATGCAGGATTGGAAGTCAATTTCAAAACTTTTATATCCTACAAAGAAATAAGTTAAATTTATATTATTAAACATATATTAATCAAAAGATGAACCAACATACTTTTAAACCCTTGATGTGTGCTGAAGCTTCAGGAAATGGAGTTTTATTTATTAAATGCTGTAAAACAGATTCTTTACTATACAAGAGACCCATGCCACAAGCGACTATTGGCGGTCGAAGTGGTCCTTGAGTCAAGTGACAATTACGCCAACGGTACAACTGCATGGATGATTTATCTTTCTAAAATTCCAAAAACAAAACATGAAAAATATAATTCAAACAATACAAGCAGGAAATAAGTATTTAAGTATTTCATTGTATCTACTAATACTTAATATTTAACTTAAATTTTTAATTTTAATTTTAAGTTTTTTCTAACCTAAACTAACTTATCCTTTTCTAGGAAATGGACCTCTATACTAATTATTACACTAAATACTAGTGCTACTTCAGACCACTGGAATTATTGTATAAACTATAAATGTATAGTTTTATACTTTTATATAGTCATAAAATATATATATATTATATATAATTAATTATATTAAAATTGCATCCTTCTTTCTTTCTTTGAAAACTTATCTATAATAATAATACAAAGCTGAAGAGTTTGTTTGTTTGTTTGTTTGTTTGAACGCGATAATCTCAGGAAATACTGGTTCGAATTGAAAAATTATTTTTTTGTTGGATAGTCCATTTATCAAGGAAGACTATAGGCTATATAACATCACGCTACGACCAATTAATAGAAGTGCTCAAACAGGGATTTTGAGATTTATGATGGAAATATTTGTTTATAAATGGTTGTTATTGGTTATAGGAGAAATAATTAGTAGAAATAGTAATTATTTATTATTGGTTGCTATTGGTTAATCAGGCAGATCAGGTACAAGCATGCAACAAATTGAATTTTCGCACATTGCCTAAAAGGGTGACTGAGTTGCACTTACTGCAGTGAGTTACACCAAAAAGGAGTTGAACAATCACAATTTTTTCGTCATTTTTTACGGGACACGAAGTGAGCAGGATCAGCTATATTATATATTATAAATTAATGTTTGTGTGCAGATCTCTGGGAAGAAGATAGTCTAATTTAAAAAGGGTTAAATTTGGGATTTTTTATTAATCGGATTTTAGTACGGTTAGGATTATGTATTAATTGATTATATTAATCCATAGTATTATATCAAAATAAACTTGGTATAACTTTGATACTTTAGAGTTAAATCATACAATTACATACAAACAGCATCGGGTCCGCAATCTACCGCAGGTACATTGCCTACCTGATAATATACTGCTGCGAATCAGAATTTTTATTCCAGTCAACAGAAAAGTTAAGATAAATTTTGAACACCATACACAGAATATTGAATAACGAATTGAACAAAGTTTGAGTCTTAAAGAATTGATTCATTTAAAGGGCAACAAAGTGCACAGGATCAGCTAGTTAATTATATATATTTTTTATATTCATTATCTATTTTGTTAGATAACTCTATTTATGTTTATAGATTATTTATTATAATAAAAATTACCTAAACGTTAAAATATCTGAAGGAGGGCTTAACACGTTCGTGGTCAGTTACTACTATTGCAGTAATTTCAATTTTTTTCAATTCTAATGTAATGGGTCACTACTGCTATATCAGTAATTTACAAACCCACAAAATCAGGCATTACTGCTCATGCAGTAATATTTCCATTGGTATTAAGTGGAACTAAACATGTGACCGACCTATTATGATCACTCATAAGTTTGGCACAGAATAATATAAAATTCTATTTTTTTTAATAATTTTTATTGATATTTTAAAAATTAGAGTGATTTTCTGAGGAGGGTAAATTAATAATATTAAATGTGTAGGGACCATGAACGTGTTAAAATGGCTCAGGGAGGCCTCAGCCCTCGTAAGCCTCCTCCCCCCCCCTATTTACATCCATGGTTTGTTGTTTAATGTTTAATGTTTTTAATTTATTATTTTATACACAGAATGCAACGTTAGACTAATTCTATAAATTCTAACTTGATAATTTAGCTTAATTTGTTATTTAGTTTATTTTATGTGCTTTTAAAAATATTTTTACAAGACTGCGATAGTCATGACTAGAGGATTAACATAGTTGGATATGAAAAATCTTAAAGACTTAATTGTTATTGCATTGACATTTACTCATCGTAGATCGTAAGTGTAACGATTAAACCATTTATTACCAAGCACAATTATTTGGTGTTACACAACAATCGGTTAAAAATTAATTAAGTAGACATACCTGTTCTGGTTTCTTTTTGGTTCGTACCAGCTCGTCCCTCTTGGGTATAGTTCCACCATCGCATCCCATCTCGAACGATTATAATTCTTCAGGAAATTACAATAAATAATATTATAGTTATACAAGTACCTAAACAATAAAGTAACTATTATAATCTAAATAAGCAAACTACAACAATAAAGTCATTGGACATAATCACAGATATATATAATTGATTATGTTCTATGATAAAGTCTGACATTCTGCGCCCTGATTGGTCGTAATATTAATAATGATAATATATCTTATATCAACATATGAGATAATGATATGAAAATAATAAATATTTATATTTCCATTTTCTAGGCTAAAAAGTGAAATCGAGCCTAAAAGCCATCAATTTAAATAACAATTTAACATTATTTTTTATTTTATTAATTATACCCATAGACATATAAATAATATTAATTATACGTCCATTATTATACCTAAATTAAAAGGACGCTACCCTCGAATTTGTTGTCTCCGTCTTACACACAAATGGCATTGCTAATATTTCCATTCACTAATTTCAAGGGTGTGCTGTTAGTTATAATATTAGAATTATTTGACTTATTATCAAATTTTTAGGTAAGAGCATTTTACCTATAATAAGTCTATGGTGCTTAAGTGTCGGCGATTTTTGAAAATATTTTAATTTTCAAGCTTGGTAATAATATGAGCATTTTTAATTTGTTTTAATTTTCAATTTTAATCATGTAATATTATACATACCTAAAGCTTTTCGGTACCCATTTCCGAGACTTTGGTGTTTATTTTCACAATATTAATTTTATGATATGTATCATATATTCATGTAATATGTATAATATATTGTCAATGGTAAATGCTAATGCTATGGCATAACTGTGTAAAAACTAGGAGATTGGGGGTGGGAGGGATGGCAAATTAATGTATGAACAAAAATAAAAACCCTTCCCATCGTTTTAATATAATACATTACATTTGTTCAAAGCATAACTTTGTTCAATATTATACCTAATTGCACTAAGTCTAATTGTTGGTTTTTACACAATTCTTAAAGGAAACTTTTTATTGCTTAGAAACATTAATTATTGTAGTTAGTAGGTACCAGTGCACCACCAATATATTGATAAATATTAAATAATAACTCTTAAGGAAATAAGAGTTCATATTATATAAAATGATGCACTATTGGAATAGCGGAGGGAGTGAGGAAGATACTTTTGCAGTTTTGCACGCCTCAAAAAGGTCAGGGGGCAGGTACCCATTATAATAAAGCCACTGGTTAAATAGTAATTAATATTAGTAGTTTATAAAATCAATGGTAATAGCCAGTTGTAGGTATACTATAAAATATAAATTAATAGGTAGCTGGTAGGTACCAGAATTTGTTGTTTTAGATTTTGAGAGAAACAAAAAATATATTGGTTTTCCATTATTTATTTATTTTTTGTTTCTGAAAACTAGAACTTTTAGGGTTTTATTTGATATATCACAAAGTACAAAGCATCATTATATGGAAGTATACAACTATTGTAACTTATAATTTATATTAGATTAAAAATTACAAATAATAGTATTCATAAAAAAAATAATACCTAATGTATGGCTGATATTGATATAGATAAAAAATTACAACGGTACATATTGGGCGCTAATCTATTATAGAAAGCTTGGTACTCAGGTATTAGATATTTTGAAGGATCTGGTGCTGGATCTTTAATGAGAAAATCAGCAAGAAACGGAGCTGGTAATAGTAATATACCCTTGACAGCGATTTCGTTTAAAGGAACAGGAATATTGCCATACCCTTGGTCAATGATACAATGAGTAGACTGCAATAGTTCTCTAAATACAAATAAAAGTTAAAATTAAACAAAAAATGTCACTAAAAGTTCATAGTTATAAATTACTTTATATCCAATATCATTCCACCACCAGCTCGTATGAGACGTGTCAAAGCTTGGTATCTATTTTCTGAAGTCATTAATACAGCTCTCATACCACTGAATGCTGCAGTTTTACTAGAACAAATTTTAGAACGCCATCGATAACCTGCTCCGTCTAATGGATTTGATAAGGATAAGTAGGATAAAGGATTTCCCCATTCGTATTTATCTTCCTACAAAAATAAACAAGTTAAAATATAAAATATATTCAAGTATTTAGAATAATGAAGTTATATATTAAATTGTACTTACCGGCAGAAAGCAATTTTCCTCTAAACAATCATCAATATAACTTGGATGTAATATCCATTTTCCAGAAGCAAGTGAACATAAATATTTTTCAGTTCTACTTGGTTGGTGCATAAGAACATGAGTAACATCTTCACAAAACATTGCACTTCGCAATACTTGAGCACCAAGTTTTTCAATAGCATTTTCATATTTTTGGCGATTCTATTGAAACAAATCAACATTTTATAGTTTTTCAAATAAAATTTAAAATATCAAGCATAAAATAAAATATTTAGTTACACTGATATTCACGCTGGTTAATATAAACTTTTTATTGCATTCGGATAGTCTTTTTAACTGAAATGTACGAAACATATTATACATAGATAATATTTGTATACATATACATTAATTATTTTACAACTTACCCTAAGTTTTTCTTGTTGTTCAGGTGGATGGGAAGATCCAACTGAACATTGTTCTGATGATTCTACAACTGGTTCGTTCAATAGAGAATTTCCTATAAAAAAAAACATTTTATTGTTACAGAAAAATGAAAAATGCCCCTCCACAAAATTTAACCCAAAAAGCATCGCCTATTATTATAATAATAATCAGATTATATATTATTATATTTATTAATATCATTAACGGTGTAATGCATTGCACTAAGTATATAATATGAGTTACTCTAGTTTAAAAACCATTTGACGAATGTTGTTGCAATGTAGGTTGTAGTAATACTAATATAGTTCAAAAACTCAAAGCACAAACTCAATATTTACAACTTCTGCCATCTCTCTAGTGTACTCAGTTGCTAAATATTGTTCTCTAGTCTGGTTAAATTGTGCTCCTAGAACATTTATCTCTTCTCGAGGACCTCATGAGTATAGCTCCCGGTCACAGTATCTCCATAAAAAAATTGTCAACTTTAAAATTAAATTGTTTAAACCAAATTCACATAGGTCATTGGAACAAAGTCAATGCAATCAACATTTCAAAGATGTGGATATATTATGAAGAAACTGGTTGACGTTCCTAATCCAGGGTGTTGCTGCAATCACAAAGTTACAAGGCTACCTCAAGAAAAAATTTAAAGAAACTCTTGAGGAAATTTACAACTCAACCTCCTCTGAAGCAAACAAATGGTTAAAAAAATCTAGATACTAATTTATAATTAACACCGTTTCAGTGGCATATATAGAGGGGAGGCCCCCTGGGCCAGAGCCCATAGTGAAATTACAGGTTCAATTAAAACATTGCATGCATATTTACACTGTTTTTAAACATGATTAGCCGGTAGATTAAAAACATTTTTGAGAAATCAACAAAGAAATGTTAGATTGTCATTACTTGCTTTGATAACTTTGATGTGAAATTCATAGTAATAAGGGATTAAAATATCTAGACAAAATTATCAATATTTAAAAAAAATATATATAAAATTGTGCAATCTTTATTTGTATTCTGTGTCATAATTATAACCACCCAGCTCACTAAAAAAAGTATAGTTATGGGTATGTTAGTGCTATGCTTGACTAGTGATAATAATTGGCCCATAGTGATAATAATTTGTACATACGCCACTGTATTGTTTGTTATTTAAAACACTCAGTTTATTACTCATTGCCATTATTGTTATAACTATATTTAACACTATTTGAAAACAAATGTTAACTTATTGTTCACATGTCATAATTATTATGAATAAATAAAATAGATAGTTCAAGGTTACTAAAAGAAACTTTTTGGAATAAACCTATTCTAGTTTATTTTTATAAGGTGTTGATTATTTATTTATTTAATAATTATTGTAAGTATTATGAGAAGATTATTAAATCAAATGAAGATTTAAAAATAAGGATCTATTAATATTTAAATAAGTTCTTGGAACATTATAAAAACTAACACATTTAGATGCTGATTTATTTTTTACCCTAATAACTGTATAGAAACTTATTTACAAACTAATTACATACTTGCATAATCATCTTGACTTTCAGATTCTGTTTTGGAAAGAGGAATTTCTGGTTCTCTTGATGCACATATATTTTGTTGGAGTTGTTCAATTGTTCTATAATAAATAGAATAAACTTTAAAATAAAAACATGTTGTAGTTAAAAATGAAAAACAAACCTCTTAAATTCTTGTTTATCTAAAGATTGCTGTTTAGTATCCTAAAAATTATTAATTATTTAATTATTACTGTTGTCTGTTATACTAAGTAACATTTTTATTTTCTCACAATATTTGGCGATACAGTATTAGATTTATTATTTTGAGTTTTTGATATTTGCGATATGTTATGCAAGCTGCTGTTACCCACAACTGGAGAACGGCAGGACAAACTTGGACTTTTCAATATATCATTTGAATTAGCATTTATTGAACTTATTTCATTTGTTTCCTAAATATAAAATAATTATAAAATCATATTTAAATAAATTACATAAATAGTTATGAATTAATTTATTATAAACTGTCATTTGAATCTCAAACGTTTCAAAAATACTTGGCAATTTTTTGTATTTGTTGTAATACTTTATTAAAATTAATAAAACTATAAAAATTAAAATTATCGTTGTTAAAATAATTAATTATATTGGTTATTTTAAAAATGATATCATGAATATTTACTTATTGTTGATTAGTATTAGCATTGGTTTTAAACACAGATAAGCCATAGAACAGGAGTTTTCATTGACTACAAATATGCTTGCTGTATCCGTTTGCATTAAGCACAATGTAAATGATTACATATTTTTAGTCAATGAAAACTTCTATGCTAGAGCTTAACTGTATGTTTTAAAATCAATGGCAATAGCAAGTAAAGACAACAAAAACATTTTCAGAAAAAAAAACTTACAGTACTATTTTGGCTCCTTAATTTAGGTTGCGATTGTTCATCGAGACCATCTGGCAAAATATCTATACTTCTGAAAAAAATCAAAATATATAATTAGTATATATAAATATAACTACATTTTAACATGGTTTAATTAGTAAAATTAAATAATAAATATTTTATACTTTATATTTAAACAAAACAATTAGTAGAAATTTATAAAATTTCAAGTTTAGACTATGAGGTTTTCTGAATAAACACTTAAATAATAATTATAAACATATCAGTGATCACTGATCATATTATATTATTATAACTAGGGTCCGGAATTATATGCACTAAAAATGTACGAAATATGCATGCTTTTATGCACCGATTATCTTTCAAATAACAAAAATGCATTTAAACGAATTAAATTAAGATCATTGGAAATACCTGTACCCAGTTGTAATGGTTGCATTATATTAGACAATTTTTATCCATATTTTTTTGGAATGTTAGAAAAAAACATGCAAATGAATATAAATCCGGCCCTAACTATAACAATCAAAAGATTCTTGTTAACTATTAAGGGGATTGCAGCGCATATATTTATCATACGTTTTAGACCAATAAGCGGTGATAAATTACACATACTTCGGAATGTCCGATATAAATTTTTCATACATGTTTGAATTCATTGATAACATTTCTAGGCTTTTTAGGAAGTCGATTTTCAATTTTCAATTTAAAATTACCTTAAAATAACCATTTTTTTTTTAGAAATCCCATGAAATAATTTCATTATATTTGTATTTATTTGGGGAACATCTAATTTTAAATAAAAAAAGTGATTCCTAAGAAGCATAGTCTAGAAGTTTATAAATTCAACCATTATTTCGAAATTACAATCAAAGTTTGGGAAGTATGATTAATTTACTACCGCTTTTAGTAGTTTTTATAGTCATGCAAACAAGAATATTATATTTCATTTTTCGTGATGTATTGAGTATTGACATGCGAGTGCGCGCGTGAGAATTACTTCTGGCGCAGTTGCCCGACTCGACGTGACAGTGATTCTCAGAAACAATTAGTAGATTACACACATTAATGTTCATTTACTACTCACACATAGATACAGTATTAATTTCTATGTCACATGAATTGCATAAATAGTACTCCTTAAAATATGCTACATTGCAGCCCAATTAAAGAAAATATGGGTGTCACATAAGATTTGTATGAAACCTTATGAACATTTTAAAACAAGCAACTTAAATCAGTGTCTGTGTATACTTTAAAACTTAAGGTGTTATTACTGGACCCGAAATAAAAAGTAAATATATAATATTATATAACACTCAACAGATAGCACATTGTGTATTATGTTCTACGATTCCGTGTTCAAGGTACAAATATAAAACAAAAATATTTACTGTAAAACCTACTAATTAGTTTAAATATTAAAAAGATAATTTAAAACTTATTTTACACAATTAGTTAAAACTAAATGGCAACAATAAATTTAATTAGAAAGATAATTTTGTAAAACTTAATGGTTATGATTTAATGAACATACTTTTTCCATTTCTTTTTTGTTTCCGGTGTAACAGGATCATTGTAAAATATTTGTCCATATGGAGTCTCTGGGGTTTTTAAATTTTCTATGAAACTATTGGAAGCAACTGGCGTAGAACAACTTGATTTCAAACGAGCTATTGATGGCGTATATTTGTTGGAAGGTGAACCTACTTGAGACGTAGGAATCATGATTTCCATTGAACATTTCTTTTTTAGTGGTGGTTCAATATCATCCTCAGTGTCTTTAAGCGGTATTGCTAATTCGGAATCAACATTATTTTCTTGCATTGCAAGTATCGTTAATTTTTGAGTAAATGATGTAGAACTATTATTATGACTATCATTTTTTACTTTAGAAGTTGAAGCAACTGTAGAATTTGTTAATGTAGAGTTATTAGCTAATGGAAATTTAATCACAATAATTAATTAATATTTTTGATACAATGTTAAAATTTAATCAATTAAACTAATTTATTTAGTATTCACCGTTGGAAACAATTGGAAATTTATCTTCTGGTAAACGGAATTTGCATGGAACACATTTAAGTAGCCATTCTTTAGATACAACTGGTACTCCCCATTTAACTGAGGCTTCATATTTGGGTCCTTCTGGAGTAGAACAAATGAGATGAGTTGTCATCATAATGTTATCTTCTGGTTTTGATTTTCTTGACAATGCATCTTGAAAACTAAAAATAGAGTTTGTGTTGAAATTAATTTATAATTATGGATGAATTATAATGATCTTACTTCGCTCCAAGAAGTAGTGAAACTTCTTTTAAGAAATATCGTTCAGATCCCGTATAATTGGTGATACTAATCACACAGTTTTGTAGAGGCATAGAACCACTAAATATTACAGGTTTATGATAATATTCTACAGGAATTTGTTCAACATTATTATAACAGTCTTCCTAATAATAATACAATAATAATTAATTATAGTTATAGAAAAGTTTAATATTTATCACATCCTAAGAATATAGTGCTGAGACCAAAATTTGTTCCAAAATCCTGCGTGAGTATAACTTAATAATGTACTTACTATCCAAAGACAGCTAACTATGGTGGCTTTTATACTTAATGATTTCTCATTGAATACAATTGGAACAACAACATAATTAATTTGTCCTCGATAACTACGTGTATTAACTGCCACACCACCCATTGATATTATTTTACTTTTTATGGATGGCAATTGATGAGCATCCAAACCATGGAGAAGAATAGTTAACCCTATAAAAAAATGTAAGTACATTATTTCATCATTATTTTATATGATAGTTAGTATTAAATAATAGTAGTAATAATAATAACAACCTTCTAATACAGATTCAAGTTTACTATCTTGAGTGGACATTGTATTTTGTGATGTACAAGAGGATTTTCCCCTAAGATTATCATTAAAATTGGTGTTTTCTAAAAATTATAATATAATGATAAATATAATATAAAAATTAAATTAAATTAAACTTGTATTAATGTAGCTAAAATATATTATAATAAAACTTGAAATTATCTGCATTTGTATAAATCATAACAATTTAACAGTCTTTTTTAATACATTTATTAGTTCTTTTAAATAAATAAATACATTCAACATTTTAGTATATAAAGTGAAAAATTGTTAATTGTATGGTACTAACCAACATTCAAATATTGATCGATAAAATTATCCATTGGCGGATTACTGGTTACATTTGAAATTTGTAGTTTAGGTTTATCTACTACTCTCGGCTGAGGGAGTGTAGAATTCTTCATCATATACAATCCCTAAAAAAATTAATTAGAAAAATTTTATATAATTTTCAACAGCATTATATAACTAGCCATTAGCCAAATCTAGAAGGTTAAAAGTTACTAAAAAAATTTAGAACACTTTTGAGTAAAAGCTAGGATTTGTTCATTTTATATTCACTAATAATCATATTTCATAGTATTAACTTTTAAGCAAATAAAACGACTAGTGAATAGTTACAACATTAAAGATTGATTTGATTGTGAAATTAAATAGGATATCAGTGCAATATTGGTTTTCTCCTAATTATAAAAATTATGAAGGATAATATTTACATTTGTTTTACAATTTATTTTTATTTGAATTTAAAAATAACAATAATATAGTACATTTAAATTGATATTAAATCATTTTAAGATAATATTTAGACAAATCAATATCTCATACTCATAAATATTATTCTCTATACAAAATGTTATGAGTAATTTGTATTTAAAAACATAAAAATTGATTTTGTGTGAATACATTTTGTCTATGCTGCGTGTGCAATAGAAAGAGGAAACAAACAGTGCGCTGACATTCTCTTATTGTATCAAAATTAAAAATCATAACATTTTCATTGGAAATGTTAACAGAGTGCGTAAGATATCCACAAACCTCAAGTTTATATAAGAATTTAGCAAGCACCATTAACAATTATTATTTATTATATTATTATGGAAAGATTTTGAATTATAATACAATAATATAAACTATATTAAAAGTAGAACCAAGCATGGTGACTGCATTTTTAGTGAAATTATATTTGTATCTTTTTGTCCGTATAATATGTATATTAGCGGCTTCTTATTGTAATTAAAGTGTAAATATTATAAATAATATGTATTAAATAAAATAATACCTTTTTGCTAAGAGGAGATGGAGATTCTGGTATAAATGAATGAGATGAATCCATTGCTAGAAACTGTTCTTCTGGAGCAGCGCATTTTAAATTTATACTTTCAAGTAACCAATTAAAAGTCACAACATGAGGTCTAAAATATAATGTGTTTATTATAATAATTGACAATAAAAAAATAAGGATTTTAAGTATTAATCTTGTTTATTAAGAGGACACCACACTTTTAAGAGGTTTGATATAAGCAATTAAAATACCAAGTTGATTACATATTATGATTGGTCCCACCACTCGCACCCCAGCACTAAAGTTATTTATTGCATAATCCAAAATTATATTGAAAGACAGTTTCATGCAAAAAGAACCAAGAACACTTTTTTTATTGAACTTTCATTATAAAATGATAAAATTGTTGATTCTACAATGTTGTTTTTTGTTTTTATGATATTCCTTTAATTAAATAATTCTTTTTAAGTTTCAAAACTGAAAAATAACGGATTTTAATACAATAACATTTTTAGTGCAAATGAAATGAAAAATAAAAATATATAGGTATCACAGTCCTAGTTCTTTCCGTTGTCATGAAAATGTAGTTTTTTATAACAAGGGATTAGTCTAAGTAATATTCTTACCCTCCAGAAAAAATTATAAACAAACAATTTATGGATGTTCCCTTAATCACAGTTAATTACTACATTAAACTATGGAAGTTATATTTACTTTTCTTGAATAGAGTGTAATAATTTTGCAAGTGATGCAGAAAATTCACCTACCAAAATATGGGTTATAGACTCATTTAGCTCCGTGTATCGAATTCCACCAGTAGAAATTACAATTCGTCTTAATTTTTCTTCTTCGCTTGAATTAAATCCACTAAAATAAATCTTCAAAAATTTAATTTATGACTGTAGTCAAAGTATAAAATATTTAAAAAGCATTGTTAAAATTAAAACTTACTTTACAGCCATCCAAAATTGTGCCAGCCTTTTTTACTTCTGGCAAACTTAAATCATTTAAAATATCTTTATATTTTATTTTTGAATTATCTGTAATACAATGTGTGTATAATTTTGAGACATCAATATAATTTTGAATTTTATAAAACTGACAGTTTAATGTACCAAATGCCAATTACTAATAAATAATGTTATGATAAAATAGTATACTTACAATGCCCATTATTTTTTTTTGGAGTAGTACAATTCTCTTGTGATCTGTGATTATTTATGTTTTGGAGCATTTTAACATACCACAGTTATTATATGGTTTCTTCAATAATTGTTGATTTACGTTCAACTACCTACTTCAACTGTGCAGCAACAATTTCACTTATATGAATTATAATATCGCTGTGAGAAAAGTTTGTAATTTTTTCGATAGTGGTTCAAACTTCAAGTGGTTGTACTACTCGTACAGTCGTACTTGTAATTTACTCATTTGTCAAATCACTGTGAATACCATTTTATAATTTTAAACACATAAGTACGTAACGGCCAGCGTAACGGTACAATGTTGAGAACCAATTGTTACATTAGTAGTGTTTAGGTACTGCTTATAAGTATGAACACTGAGCAACGGACCTCGGACTCCAGCTGCAGTCCAGCGTGTGTATGACTATATATATATGACTTATCGTGTCCGTGACTACAAACAAATACTAAAGATAATCTATAGTATTTGCTACAAACCATGACAAAATAGATAGGTATGTCAGCAACTTTTTGATACGCATTGTGTTCGCCGACCACTCCACCCCCCGTCTATTAGCTGGTTCGCCTCTTCTCATTGGTGAATATAATATTCTTGGTCGTTTAATGTTATCACGTTTTATCAATAAATATTAAATCACCGTGTGTCCGACGGACACTGACCGTGTACTATAGTCGTGTACTGGTAAATACTAAATTATGGAAATCATTAATAATAAAAATTCAAAATTGGAAAACTATTTTATATATTATATTAATTATTATACTTACTTATTAACAATTAACATAGGTACCTAAATATTACATTATAATATATTTCAATACTTACATTACCTACTTACATCTTATTTAGTAAATTTTTGTTTTTTAAATGTTTCCAATTTTTTAAATTTTTGACTCATAATTTGATTGTTTAAATTATTGAGTCTTATATAAGTTCTTGTTCGTACAAGACATTGCAAAACATCTAAAGGTAACTTTAAATCTTGAGTACTTATTTGTAATTTATCTGTTAATGTTTTAAATATATTAGGAGCTTTTGACAGGTTGTCACCGTGGAGACTTCTGAAATGTATTTCTAATTGTTTCACAGCTCGCATTAAATTGTCAGATGGAATTTTCAATTGACCTCTGGAAATATAATCTGTCCAACAGATTGGTTTGTCTTTATCTGAATGGGCTATCAAATTGGGATATTTATTGAAAAACAATACATTGATATCGATGAATAACATAAAAACAAATTACATATATCATACAAGAAAATGATAAAACGTAATTTTTCATAGTAGAAAGCTCGTATTAATCTATTATTCATAAATCATAATTATTAATTTTTAATCTCGTCTTGATTATAATATTACAAAATTGTATTTTTGGCGGGTAATTTAACGGCCAATGAAATGAGGCGAACCACGACTATGGCTGGGAAGGGTGTGATGCGCTAACAAGACCAAAACTCGTATCGTTGCTGACATACCCATCTATTTTGTCATGCTACAAACCACGATTTAAGATAGTACTATCTTAAATCGTGCTAGTTGCTACCACGATTAAAGATAGAATGGTTGCACAACGAACTATGATAAGAAACAATTTAATGATGCTCATAGTTTCTTTTATTATCAACGATACTCTAGAAACTTTTACTAGCGCTCATAGGGTATAAATTATGTACTACGCATCAGAAATCAAGATTCTTCTGTAATAATATGCACATTTATTTTCCCGCGAAAATGCAAAAAAAGTACATACACGATTAAAAATACGATATTTTCAACGATTTTTACATTCGTGATTACATGGTACATACTACCTATGTAATTTTAATTGTAAAGTTTGGTTTAAAGTCACATCCTAATAAAAATTTATTTCTCATTCTGAGAAGTTTAGAGTTAAGTTTTGTGAAACATGCTGGCTCTATTGATGTGTTTAATGAAACATTGTCATATTTTCTAAGTACTAATAATCCTTTGACATTTGAATGTTACGTGCACCAAACTGATATTCTCACAGATATATGTAGCACATTTGTTATAATGAGAATGAGACAGTATACATATTATATTAAAAAACTAAATAAAACTAAAAAAAAATTATCAAAACTCGTAGGTAGTTAACTTAAATTATAATTTACACTGAAAGGGAAGTATATATATTATACTTTATTTAATCATCAAAAATATATTATTAATATTGTTTAAATATAATTATTATTTATTAAAAAATAAAAATTATGTAATGTACCCAACAACACAATATTATAATTTATAAAATATAAATTTATTATTTGTTATTCCGTATTTTATTTTTTATAACGTAAATTCATGACACGATTAAAAATAGTATATTATCAATTATTATTCAATATTTAAACGCTAGGAGCGCTAATGCTCGGTTCTGCTAGTCGTTGTGATAACAAGGAAACTCTGAGAAACACTTTATTATAGGTCGTTGTGCAACCATACTATCTTTAATCGTGGTTGCTACTAACAGGGCCGTTCCTATTTCATGGCGAGCGGGGCCCCGCACCTTCACCACAGTAGGACAGGACGACAGGTCCCGCTTTTATAAATAGGTACAATAAAAAAGTCAAGTAAATGAGCAAAAAAAAAAATGTATCATTTATATATTTTTAAACATTCAATTACTGTAATTTTTACTACCTGAACCTACTTATCTTCATTGATGTCAAATAAATGTATCGCATTTTAAATGAGTAAATATGATTAAAATTAAATTTTCAAAGTTGAAAATTATAAAAATAACTATCTTCAAAGCCACTGTCGCAAAACAAGGCACCAACTTGGCTATAATATCTATAGAAAAAAATTCTAACTAACTAAAATTTTTATTTATATTTAAATTTTTATTGACGCATTTGATAATTTAGACGTAGGAATGTTAATTTATAATATATTTAATTATCAGCGGAGCGAAAAAATATACCTACTTATTTTACAATGATGTGTGTTTTTTTTCCGTTTTATAAGCCACATTTTGGGTAGTAAAAGTGCTCCGCTTTTCGAGATCAGCATATATACTGAATACTGATAGAAAAGTGAGACTATTTGGTATTTTTGGGAATTCCAAATTCAAAATACACAAAAAAAGAGGTAACTTTTATACAAAACCAATTTTTGAAGATTTTATTTTTTTGGTGTTACTCAAAAATTAATGACTTCAAGGTTCTGCACCTTGACATTTTCAACAAATATTTATATTAGTATTTTCCATAAAACATTTTTACAATATTTTGACTATTTTTGAGCTGGTTATATCCTTGAGAACATTTTATGTATAGATTGCTATTAATTTATTTACTTATTTATATAATATAAATAACAATAATTGTTGTAAGTACAAGGTAATATACTTTTAAGTATATTTGCGCGTTGCCCCCTTACCTAGGTAATATGTATATATGTATTATCATAATATTAAATATATGTCACTGCCAATTGGCGATAATAAGAAATGACATTTTAGGCCCAGCAATTTGACTCTGCCCTGGGATCGTCAGGTCGTCAGGACGACCCTGGCTACAAACCACGGTCTTAGAAGATGTTCTTAGAAGACCGTGCTACCACAGAATAGATGAAATTTAATCTATTCTGTGGTAGTGTGTAGTCACAAACAATCTACAACTACTGACTATGATCAAATACTATAGATTAATCTATAGTATTTGCTATGATCAAATGTTCTATGGTACAGCCGGTACAGGACTTGTCATGACCGGTTGGAGGGTGTGGGGGGTTGACCACGAAATGTAGTACAACAGGCGGAGTTCGAGGGAATATTTTCCTTTTAGCATTACTAGCGCCGTCTTAGTGGATACTTATGGAACTAGAAATTTGTATGATATTGTGTTTTAGACTTGTTACCATAGATAATAAAGATATCTTTATTATCTATGCTTGTTACGAGATTGGAGATTGGAGATGGGGACAGTTGGGTCCCCGAGATAAGAGTTAGGTCCCTTGATACCACCAGCTCCCCGGCTCCAAGTTCCCACGACTATAGATATTACTACTATCATTAATCGTGTCACCTTCCATAAGACTCTTGTAAAATTTCTTTTGGTTAATTGATTTCCTTTCTTTTATTCTGAGGTACCTAGTTCCGAATTCCAATGTTGGCTATTTGGCTATAGTATAAGGTATTAAGCCATTAACCCATTAAGGTCCATGAGTAAACAAATAACAATGATGTCATAAAATTATAAACATTTTCAGATCAGTACAAAAATTAAAAGCAACAGAAGGTACGTATGGATTGAGATGTTTAATTAGGAATACAATTTTTTTTTACACTTTATTCTTTATAATATACTTAAATACCAATATAAATTTGTCCTTGTAAGTTGGTTAATTGTAGGAACATTTTGAAAATGTATTTAAAAAGAAAAAAATTACTAAATACTGACCCAATATTCAATTTTAACTACATATCAGTGTTTACATTTTGTTTATAGCAATCTAGAGAAAAAGTTTTACAAAAAAATATTGTGCAAATGCTCACCTTACAAACCCCTCTTGTGACCAAATGAAAGGTTTTAAATAAAAGGTTCCTACCTAATTGTTATTTTTATTTTCAGAGTACCTAATTGAAAAACAATCAATAAAGAGGGCATAATTCAGTATGGAACCATGAGGAATAAATACTGATGATTGGGCGGTAAATTCCAAGTGAGTAGTATAATATACAAGTAATATAATATACTATAATATAATTATTATATTATAACTAATGAGGCATAACAAAATGTAAGGTAGTGGGCTAGTTGACCCCCGCCACTCAAGTTTAGTTGACGCCCGCCACTTACATTTTGTATTTTCGATAACCAATAATTTATATAAAAATGTACAATTAATAATTCATTATACATTTATGATTATAAAAAAAATTATGACAAAAATTATACATTTATGATTATACAGAACAATTCAAGCGATCAAAATAAAAATATATAAAAAATATGGTAATAATAAATAAAAATAAAAAATAATAATAAAAATTATGCTGGTGG